AAGCGAAATTGCCATTCGAATTAAGCGGCTTATAAATGCATTAAACACATAGCGGGACAACTAAAATTTTCAAATCTGTTTGAATTAACCGGAAGTATGAAATATCCGAGTTTGAATTATCGCGAGCCTACTGTACATTTCTGTGCAATCTAAATTTAGGATTAAGAATACTTAGTTAGAATCAGTGGTCTAGCTTGTATGGAAAAGTTTCTATTTCTAAATCTGCTACACTCCTACAGTTGCAACAAACTACACATGGTATTCCAAGGTAAACATTAACAAGTAATGGCAGAACTTCCTGTGGCCAGGATAACTTCCAATTGACCGGTTTCTTGCGTGTGCTTCAATGAGCAGGAATGAGCACGTGCGTCTAAAGGTTTTTTCCGTGGAAATTTGAAAGAAGGAAGATAGATGGATGTGCACTTCTGGACCTTTAGGCACCAAGAAAAAGCACCGCATCTCATTTTATTTGGCCTTCGTGGCAAAAGTTACTGGACCTGCCTGATTTCCCAGTGAAAACTTGTATACACGTGACATTCTACAACATTAGACAGCCACAAATCAGCCGAGACATGTGATTGTTTCGTCTTAATACGAAAGCATTAACTGTTCCATGGAGCGAAGCCGGCATCATCTGATGTCTGTAGCAGCCAAAAACGGCACCTAAATGCTCATTGGCTGAGCGAAACGGCCCCTAAGTTTCCATTGGCTGAGCAAAACGGCACATAAATTCCCATTCACTGCAAAGCGGACGTGCGTCAGAAATAAAACACACAGAGAAGCACAACAATGCAAATGCTTCGTCACGGAAGCCGGCGGGGCGCTCAAGGTCAAAACGGATGCGCCTCAGAAATAAAACTTAAAGAAAAGCACAGCAACGCTGAGGTAGCGATTTTGGGTCACTTGGTATGCATCATTCATGGTGAAAAACAGCTCAAAAACGAAGACAACAAGAAGGAGAAAACACGAAAGGATGAAGCTGTACTCGCAATTGAAGTTTTATTAATCTTTCTAAAGTTTCCTTTAATCTTTTTCACTAATAAAACTTATTTACAAGTACAACTTTGTCCTGTCGTGTTTGTTCCTTCTCGTCGTTTTTGTTTTTGAGCTGTTTTTCCCAATGAACACAGCAATGCAGATGCTTCGTCACGGAAGCTGTCGTGAAGCCGGCGAGGTTCGCCGCGCCTGTGCAGTGGGGGACCCTGATGTCACTGCCGGAGCGCCGTCTGAAAAAGGAAGACGTGGTGCGCTGCTTGTGGGAATGCAATCCGTATAGGAATGCTTTCACATTCCTATGTGTAAGCAGTCTTAAGTGTCTCTGCCGAATTTTTTCGTGCATGGGGGGCGTGTGCAACCACAACATTGCTTCGCCAAATGCATGTCGTTTGCTGTGAGTGTTCGAGCTGGCCAAAGCAAAACTACGCTATGCCTGTCGGACGTAGTTGAAGGAGGGTGCAAAGAATTGTGACACCCGTGCTCGATTGTGCCCCGGAAAAATTTAGCGGTGCGTTTTCGACGACGAGTAGAGATATCGTGATTGGGACAAAGCTGTCGCAGTATGTAGTAGAATTGTGCCGCTCGTTGTCCGCAAAAAAAAAAAAGCAGCTCGGTTTTGATTACGAGTGGAGATATTCCGACCTACCGCGGCGATCCCGTGAATAATAATCACATGAATACAGTTGCAGACGTTGGCATCAAAAGGCTTTTATAGATTCTATAACCCAGGCGATAAGGTAAGAAAACTAGTTTCTTGTCCGACTTGTTACAATCACGCGACACTCCTGGGGACAAAGCCCATTGGTTTGAACCGTTCTATTCGGGCACACATACACAAGTGCTGTTGCGTTTGACGGCATGGTCGAGTAATAAAGTCGAGTGGCCTCGTGCTATGTTTCACGTCTTGCTTTAATCGTGTCACGAACAGATGCTTTATTGCAGCCGAAAAGAATCTCGAACTTCGAAATTGACATTTTTGAAATGAACGTGGAACCGAACCCCAGGTTCGGTTGCATGTGAAAAGATTCGAAGTCCTCCGCTGATATAATCTCTCAAAATTTAGGTTTGTTTTCTTTTTTTTTTTTTTTAGTTTGTAGGTTTTTACTGGAGTTTGTTAAGGACACTCACGTAAACTGCCTGTTTACAAGCTCGAATGCACCCGAAAATCAATGTCAGTGAGAATTCTGCTTTAAGATTGAAAAAAAAAGATAAACACTATTTTTAATTACGAAATATATTATGCAATACCAAGTTTGTGTCAGTGGTCTGTGTTAAGAAAAACCTGGCTTCAGGCTAAAAATATAAAGTTATGTTTGGGCGAATAATTAATATTTCAATCAAATTTTTATTTCCACAAGAACTCAAGTCTGATTGGTTCGAGCAAGTTTCATCGCTGTCCGAAGGAGTCGGTTGTGTCCATCTTTGATTTCAAAATTAAGCGATCCTAGTGCTGAGCGTAAAATCAACTCGCGCGCGACAGAGATTGTCCGTGTTGACGGCTGCAGAGTTGCTGCTCGTTGCATTTTTTATTTCTAGGAGATCTGCTGCAGCAAAGTTGCCCAGTCAATTGCAAAACATTACAGCACTCCAAAAAGCCAGTGGATGTGGAAAGCATTACAAAAAACAAGTTTAATTGCAAAACCCAAAGTAAAGCGGTGATGTTGCTTTTTAAAAGAATGCAAAGAAAACCTGAACCGGAAGTGTTCTCAGTTCCTGTCATGGCAGCCAGGAGTAGCCAGAGTACCATGTATAGTGACGAGAAGGTGCGAATGGTTCTTTTAGCACCCAGTGGGAACTTTCTGAGGGTTGTCTACAAACGCCGCCAAACAACAAAGTATTGATGTTTATTGTATACAATGCAATGATTCCCAAGTGGTGATAGCATGTATGCTTGGGTATCAAACTATAGATCTTTGCAATAATCACCTTCTGCGTACTACCATCTTTGTTGCTGGGCTGTGGAACTCCTTCGGAGCATGCACTGTTGATCTTCCGTGCGGTGTATCAAACGTTGCGTATGCATTCACAGCTCAGTGACTCGGCTTTTTTTACCTGGGTGATAAGCGACGCAAAGGTTATATAATGCAAATGAATGTAGTGAACAAGTGTTGAAGCTATAAACATAGACTTTTGATCAATTAGAAGTACTAAGACGTTTGAGTTTTTGTTTTTGTGAATGTCTTGTATGATATCTGGGACTACTTTAAACTGTTTATTATAAAACAGCTGTCTAGCATTTCAATAACACAATTTTTGGAGAAACCTGAACAAAAAATGGTTTTTAAGATTGTGCAATTGGTAACTGAAACCATAAACATTAAAACCGTAAAAAACCAAAGCAATACCGATATCAACAGGAAACGGTAACCGAAACATATTTTTTGGTTTAAGTCCCTGCTTTGTGCCTCAACTGTGGGCGAAAATGCAGCTACAATTGCGAGCATGATGCCCTGGCAATGTTCGCATTTCGTGAATGGATGAGCTCATCATGTGCTACTCGATGTATTGAAGGAAGAAAAAAGAACAGCCCGCAGTATCAGATCGAGCCGAGGCCGGTCTGGCCTCGGATCTGATACTGCAGGCTGTTCTTTTTTCTTCCTTCAATACATTGAATTATGAGTTTGCACTGGCATCTTCTCTCTTCTCTGTTCCTTTCTATTTGTGCGCAATTTCAACCATGTTCAATCATTACCAACTCGCCCAACTAACCACCTTACTTCCGTCATCAGCTTTTCAAGTCTATGCAGAGTGTCATAGTCACTAAATAGCCTTCTCAAGTTGCTTATATGTTCCCAAGTTTAGACGTCATGCGAGTCGTAAGCTTGTGAATGCAAACTAATGTGTCACAAGCTTCATGGATGTGTGGCGCAGAAGAAAGACAATGTGACGAGGACGCGAGGAGGGCCATAATCGTAACAAGAACAGCTCAGGTCATAAATGACTTCCTATTAAATGATTACAGTGGTGTGAGTATTTACTGCCATAGCCAAAGATGTTTGAGCAGCTAAATGAACACGGCACTAAAGAGTACAGCGACAAACAGGTGGTCGTCGCTGGACTCGACAAATGATCAGGATGTCACTGTTGTCTTGAAACAGTCTGGCAGATGTTTTTAATGTGAAAGCCTTAACTGGGTCTCATGGAGCGAGCTGACGTCATCAGTCTGAAGTGCGAAAATGGCAGATAGTTTCCTTTGGTTCCACAAGCGCCAGGAGCCATCGCTCAAATAAGCCAACGTTGCCCGACGGAAAAGTGCTTTTGTTTAGAAAACGCGTACAACGTTAGTTTTTAAACCTGCAAATCAGCATCTTTCACGATTTGCGTTTCGTAAAGAAAGGCTACGAAGAAAATTTAAAGAAGCAACTTCTTTTTGAAGTGTAAAACCCTTTTTAAGAGAAGAATTGCTACCTAATCTCACTCCCTGGTAAAAAGCACCGCGAGCGCTCGCGACTTGAACGGGACTTGACGGAGGACGTTTGCGGGAGCGTCTATGAAACGTAAAAGCCAGCTTGGGCATTTTAAAGTTCATAATAATGAAGCAAACCCAGTTTGTTTCCAAAACTAGCTGTCCATAGTCTGGATTGCAGGTTTTAATATTCACAAGGCAGTGTGTCATCGGGAGGAATCGGTCCCTCAAAATTGTGTCTATAAAGTGTTGCATCTATATTAGCGAGACATGACTGCATCATTTGTTGAAATTCTTTAATCGATAACTTGAATGAAGACTTTCAATCTTACCTGCCTTAGTCGGAGCAGTCATTGGCCAGTTAGAAAACGTCATCAGTCTCCAGAAATATTGTTTTTGTTCCCCCCCTTTGAATGATGAGGTATCCAGGTGCCAAGAAGTCTTCAGATCCATGTTTTCACTTTTCAAGACAAACAAACTTTCTTGTGACACAAAAAAAGAAAAGAAAATTCTGAGAAGTCAGGAGTACTTTCCAAAGCGAGAAAATATGCAATGTATGACTTAAAAATCAAAATTTCTACATGGTATTTTCTTCTAGGTGTTGGAGCCACATTGTTGGGGGAGACCAGCTGCCCACTGAAAGTCACCAAGGACATCTGGTTCAGATGCTGTTCCTGTGCCTATGTCACCAGAGATCAGCGTCTAATTGTGTACCACCTGGCTGCCCATGGTGATGAACAATCCAAGTGCCAGCATCTTCCCATGTCTGGCTCTAAGTCCCAAGTGCTCGGCAGCACTCAAAAACACAAGAGTGAAAAGCCATTTAAGTGCAAGCTTTGCCACCGAGAGTTTGCTTATAATTCCCTTCTGACCCGTCATAGCCAAACACATGCTGGTGAAAAGCCATTTAAGTGCATGCTATGCCCCAAAGCCTTTGCTCAAAATTCTCATCTGCAAAGCCATAATCAAACTCACACTGGCGAGAAACTGTTTAAGTGCAAGCTTTGCCCCAAAGCCTTTACTCAGAATAAAAATCTGATCTACCACAATCGAAAACACACAGGTGAAAAACCATTTAAATGCAAGCTTTGCCCCAAAGAGTTTGCTTATAATTCCCTTCTGATCTATCATAATCATTTGCACACTGGGGAAAAGCCATTTAAGTGCATGCAATGCCCTAAGGTCTTTGCTCTAAATTCCCATCTGCAAAGCCATAATCGAATGCACACTGGTGAAAAGCCTTTTAAGTGCAAGCAGTGCCCCCTAGCCTTTGCTCGAAATTGTCATCTGAAAACCCATAACAGAATGCACACTGGTGAAAAGCCATTTAAGTGCAAGCAGTGCCCCCAAGCCTTTGCAGATAATTCGTCTCTGAGAACTCATAATCAAACACACACTGGTGAAAAGCCATTCAAGTGCAAGCAGTGCCCCAAAGCATTTGCTCACAGTAGCCATCTGATCCACCACATTCGAATGCACACAGGTGAAAAGCCATTTAAGTGCAAGCAGTGCCCCAAAGCCTTTGCTCAAAATTCCTATCTGAGAAAGCATAGTCGAACGCACGTTGGTGAAAAACCATTTAAGTGCAAACAGTGCCCCCAAGCCTTTGCTCAAAACTCCTATCTGAGAAAGCATAATCAAACTCACACTGGTGAAAAGCCATTTAAGTGCAAGCAGTGCCCCCAAGCCTTTGCTCGAAACTCTGATCTGCAAAGCCATACTCGAACGCACACTGGTGAAAAGCCATTTAAGTGCAATCAGTGCCCCCAAACCTTTGCTCGAAATACCCATCTAAGAAGCCATCATTATTTGCACACTGGTGAAAAGCCATTTAAGTGCATGCAGTGCCCCCTAGCCTTTGCTGAAAATTCCTCTCTGCAAAGCCATAATCGAATGCACACAGGTGAAAAGCCATTTAAGTGCAGGAAGTGCCCCCAAGCCTTTTCTCGTAATACCAATCTGATCCGCCATTATCGTAAACATTGTTCAAGGGGAAACGAGGGTCTTTAACTTTTTTATTATATTTCATTTATCACGCTGAAATGTAGAATACTGATGTATTTCACAGTGGTGATTTCAAATATGAATTTAGTTTTCAGATAGCTTTGCTAGATCCTGAGTTCTCAATAAATTTGTAATTTTAATTAGGCCCTCGTTACGGTTGTTAGCGTAAAATTCTTCAGAATATATCAGCAATTTTTATAGAATTGCATTTACAGACATACTTTGTGTGGTGATGCTATTTTTGTTGCTTTATATGTCGTACAATAATTTTAATTAATTTGTCCCACAGTCTTAATAGTTGTTAACGACCCGTATGGAAGACCTAATTAAAATCTCATATTTATTGATAACTCAGGATCTACTAAAGCTATCTGAAAACTAATTACATATTTGAAATCACCACTGAGAAATACACCTATATACTGAACTTAAGCACGATAAATGAAAAATATAAAGTTAGACCTTCGTCCCCCCTTAAAAACCTTAAAAGTACAAACAATGCCCCAAAAGCTTTGCTTTGTTTAAGAGTTTATCTGCAAAAACCAAATGCGCACATGCGGAGTGCCTGTAAGTTGAGTCCGCCCCACGTGTAATCATTTAACTGGAGGAAAACTTTATGCCTTTTCAATAAAAGTATGCATATACTTGAGTGCAAGATAGGTCCCAAGGCCTTTGCTCAGATTAATGGTGAAGCTCACCGCACTGAAGCGCTTATGCGTAATAAGCCTCACAAATTCCAGCAGGGTTCCAGGCCATTTTCTAAAAGGTCTTGCCTCACCAGGCACATGCTGACACATGAGGTTAACAAACCCTAAAGGCATTTGCATAAAGCCTGCTGCAGGTAGGACTTTCAAATGCCAGCAAAATCCGAGAAGCTTCGATCATAATTTCTGCTAGGTTGGCCACATAGCCAGACTGTTTGGCATCGCTCTCCAGCCTTTTGTCCGAATGCCGTCATTTGTCATCACACAAAGATATTGGGGAGTAGGAAATAATTCCTCTTCAACTGTGATCTAGACTCTGGGTCAATGAATAGGATTCATGGTAATAAAAACCAGAGACTCAGGTAATAAAAATTCAGGTAAAAACATTCATGGTAATAAAAACTCGAGACTCAGTCTCGGGTTTTTGACCATGGATCACCACCAGCTCGCTTGTTTTTTAAAGTATTGCTGAATGAATAGGAGACGTTGTTAAATGTTTTTCAGAGCTGCTACTTTGTGTTCTGCACCTGAATATACATTGGGTCATGGTTTAGCTCTTGTTTTAAGCTCCCTTGAACTAGCTCAAGGTGTGCTCCTTTGAGGTAAGGTCTAATATATCTGTAAGCGCCAATGTCTAAATTAGTCCAGCTTACCGTGAAAGTGGGGTGCACACTCTCCCTGTATCTTACGGTACTTCTTTCTATAAGGGAGATACAAACGTGACAAAATTTAATGTGTAAGAAAAATTCAATCTTGCTTTTTTTCAAAAAAAAAAAAAGAAGGGCTGACAGTGTGAACTTCTACACTGTTGTGTCTTTCAGCTGCTGTGGGTTTCGGTACTGAAGTAACAGCTGATTCACACAGTTGTGACTGCTTATGACCTGAGAAACGTGTTTTTAAGTCTCTTGTGAGGGCTTATGACTCTGGAGTGCTGTGCAGCTGGTCGCAAGCAGTCGCAGGAGGCTTGAAAACCGGTCTTGTCTTGGTCGGTCGTAGATGGGCCTTAAGTAGTGCGAAGTAACTTTTTTCAAGATTTTCATTTCTGACAACCTTTACAGTGCTAAGACTTCATTTTAGCAGTTACCTTGGTGGGGAACTAATTGCCGAGCGTGTGTGTACACCGAACACTTCCTGCAATCGGTTGGTACATAGCTAGTTGAATCCCTCGCACTGCCCAGCAGGTTTTGCTATACAATGGCATTGTACCCATTTTAAATACTGCGTAATGCCCCTTCGGGACTGCATTAGCGAAAGTTTTGGAAAATTTTGCACTGACTAACATGGTTTTACTCGTAAGTGTTTTTGCCTTCCCTCTTTGCTCTGGCATCTTCACAGTTATGTATTTATTTGACACCTGTTTTCAGATATCACTTTTCTTTGTGTTCGGTGTTCCCAATATTTTCTTGCTCCGTGTTCATTATCCTGGCAGTTGTTTCTGCATTGCCTGGCTGTCTGCATCAGAATTTTCAAACCGTAGATGTCATTGTTTGCTGGAAAATTCCCTTTGCCTTTGTGTAGCACAGGAAAGTTTGTTCTGCTTCTCTAATGGCTAACATTCCTACATCCTTTTAAAAATGAAAGGGGTCAGTGAAGCTAAGTCTCAACGAATACTAATTTGGCCATGAATTTGCTTTGTTTCAAGGATGCTTTGAATTGTTGCTTAATGTGTGATTATTTTTGCATGGCGTAATTTGCAAACGTATCTTTATTGCGGCAATATTTTTCCTTTTACTGTTATGTCGTTTGTCTTGAACAAAATCTGAGATGATAAATATGTAATCAGACTTCTGTTTCACTGTTTCTCAGAAATATAGGTTGACAGTCAAGGTCCTGCAGTGTTGTTGTCTATTTTTGGTTCTCTTAGCTGAAGCAAATGCGCCGTGGGGAGAGTAGCTCTTTAGAAGGTTCCCACTTTGCCATCGTGCTTGATGCTGAGATCCCACTGGAGCAGTTTTGTTGCCAAGAAATTCACTACCAAGTGAAAGTCCGTACTGCGGCACATAAGATAAAGTGGCGGCTTGTGGTGTTGATTCTGACTTTAGCCCAATTCCTGCCCTCCAGCAGGTTTACGTAGGAGGCGACATCAGGTTTTTTGTGCTGTTGGAGTTGCCCTTCAAAAATGAAGGGTAACTCCACTTCATTTTTGATATTTGGAAAACTATGTAGCCCTCATCAGTATCATATAGGAAGACCCCATGTCAAATATTACGATCCAATTCTGTTTATATAATTAATAAATTGGCCAGCAAACCTTCAAGCGAGCCAAGTCGCCGAAATCAGCCAACTCTAGCGTGCGGCGCGAGGCGCAATCATCAGCGCAGTCAATGCGACGGAGTTGGAGCGGCCAACGTTGAACCACTACGTCAGAGGCAGGACTACGTCATTCTCACGTTTTGCTTGTTTTTACTTCTCTGAGCGAAATTGAACGATGACGTCATGAGTTTCTCCTCCCGGTGTTGGCTGACCGGGCGTTCACGTGATCACCCTAACACGGATGCGCTGTTTGCGCTGCCCTGCGCGCTTATCTGTTCTCCGTTTCTCCGCTCCCCTTCTCCTCTTTCGTCTTCTCCCCTTGCGCCCCTCCAACCCCCGGGCCATCACCGTCCACGCCATGCGAAGCGAACTGCCCGCGTCGAATAAAAAAGAAAAAAAAAGGCCCTGCCCGCGTCGCGTGTTCTGTTTCTCGCTCCCTCCCGAACGTCACAAGACCACGTGGTTCGACGTGACGTGGCCATGATTCTGACGACCCGAGGGCAATGTTGCCTGACGCAACCGAAGTTTCGGTTTCGGTATCTGCTGATGTTTAAATTAGGATTACACAAATAATATTCCCCATTTCGCGAATCCGAAGACGTAGAGTTTAGTAGTGCTTTGTGAATTTGAATCACATGGAAGCCTAAATTTTTCGGAATTGAGCGGAGTTGCCCTTTAATGCATGTGAAGGCATTCTGCTGCATTCTCAAATGGTATGAAAAAGAGACGTGGCAGACTAGAGGAACTTCGTACCAATTTTATTGGGCTGATAGTCCTCAGCGCGGGCATCTTTGTAATTGCATATTGTTAAACGAGAGTTGATTGCTTTTGACCATCGCTATCTGGCACTTAAGTGACCGCAATATTTTGTTGGAACCGGCACTTGTTCCTGGAGCCTGGAGCTGTGGCTCTTGGCTCTCTTCACCAAAATTTATAGATTGGATGTTGTCGTGCAAATCGCAGTGTTTCTTCGTTTTCTTTTAGCTTTAAGAGACTCTGCAACCACTTGTTGACTGGTTTTTAATTTGCATCAAACCTCAGCACACTGAACGTAGTAACTTGGTGAAACTTTTTTCGAAATTTGCTTTAGTTTAAAAGTTATAGGCAAATAAAATTATAAAACCAAGCAAAAAAAAACCTTTATGACGTCCGTGGTTTTCGCTTGGGTGGTCAATGGTAGAAGCGAAGCGATTAGCCAATTGGCTGGGGCTTACGTTGATGGTCGCTTCCCCCGCAGCCGCATGCGTGTCAACGGCTCGTTGCTTGCTTCGGCCCTCCACCGCGCTTGCCGGCATGAATTTATTGGGTGTGTCGTAGTTGAAGCTCCGAATCCTCGATAGAAGTGCGGAGCTCGGAGTAGTACCGTACGAGGACACTCCAAGTAAGCGTCCGGAGCGCGCTGGCGAAGCCTCTCAGCCCAACTCGACGACGCTCATGTTCGGGGCATGTTCCGGTTGGGTCCCTGTGATGCGAGACCACAGGAGGCAAATTCATCCTTTCGCTCCTTGCAAAATGTGCCACCGGCGTCGTGTCTTGTCTGCTAGGATCCGTAGGGGTACCTGCGCCGCCTCTTCCACTGCTTGGTGGCTAGTGGCGGCTATGTCGACGTGTCATCGCGCATTGTTTCTTGTTTCCATACTTTCTAAACTGCATTTGTTTCTTTTCTCATTTAAAATACTGAACAAAAACTAGTTTCATAAACAATTGAAATGGTTCGCACCACTTTTATTTTGTATTTTGACGAGAAAAAAAAAAAGCTTTTAGCGGCTCTGACCAGTCGTAGGCAGGAACTGACCGGGACCGACGACCTACAGCGTGACATGTATTTTTAATAAAGTAAAAAGACGCAACTCCCCGAAACTGAAACGAGACTGGGGAGGAAGAAGAAATATAGAGGAGGAGAGAGGTGGCGGAAGTCGTGTGGCTGTGATGCTTTTTGCCCCCCGAACAACGCATTTGCAGCTTTTTAGGAGCCCCGAAAAATGGGTATCGTATTTCTTTTCTATTTTTAATATTGTGTGCATGCCTTCGATGACCTACGACTTTGATTATACTTAGTGGTTGCGTCTAAACTTTAGAAAACGGCCCGTGACCACGGAGAAGAGAGTGAGCGCGACTCAAACCGGCTAGCTCTCGATCGACAGTTTTCGGGCGGAAAGAAACCGAATTTCGAGCCTCAAATTCTGCTCTGGGCAGTTGGGCTCTCATGTGTCACATACAACTAAAAACCTCTGCGATCATAAATACCCTGTCAGTGTCCCTTTCAATAAATAAATAAGCGGCCGCTTGGGGTGTAGCAAACCGGTCGAGGTTCGAGTTCGACCACGTTCTACTCTTTCAAACTTCTTGTGAAAAGTTCAACGAAGGTTCGACTGCTATGCGCATGCGTGACAGGCTGGCCAGTTGGCTTCGGATTGGATTGTGATGGCTAAGGAATGAATTATGAGCAGCACCGATTGGTTATTTCATTTAATACAGTACAAGAAACTAAGTTATTGAGTAATTAGAATTAGTTTCTTTTAATTGCAACTGTTCATAAAATTAAATTGACCCTTTGCATAAAAAAAAGTTCTCCAAACCTAGACATGCTTGTATCAAAATCTGGCCACACTGTCCACAAAGTCGAACTGGTCGAATCTGGTTCAAAGGTCGAAGGTTCGTCGAACCGGTTCGAACCAGTCAAACCCCGAAAATTTCAAATAACAATCTGGTTTAACAAAAGTTTGCGACACACCTAGCAACCACAGCTATGGGCCTGGGAGCCGCCATTTTTTGCTTATCTTGGCTTTAGCCAACTTCGCATCAGGAATCCTTCTTGGAGGAGCGCAAAGACTCTGCATACGCACGCAATTTCGGAAAAATAATATGCGCAGTGGCGACGTGAAAAGCTTTCGTTCCTCAACCCTTTGCAAAGGGAAGAAACTCCGATGCATGCTACTGCAAGCTGCGTTTCGCTGTACAAGAGGTCACACATTTGGTGTAGGTGCGCTGTCACTCGCAAAAACATGCGAGCTTCCTATTATGTCGAGCCTTATGAGATATGTTAAACTGACTGCGTATTTATTCTCGCCGAGGTTTTTAGTTGTATGCGACATGTGAGAGCCCAACATATCCAGAAGAGAATTTTTGGCTCGAAATTCGGTTTCTCTCCGCCCGAAAACCGCCGATCGAGAACTGGCCGGTTTGAGTCGCGCTCACTCTCTTCTCCGTGGTCACGGGCCGTTTTCTAAGGTTTAGACACAACCACCAAACTTAATCAAAGTCCTGGGTCATCGAAGGCACACACTCAATATTAGAAAAAAGAAAAAAATATGAGACCCATTTTTAGTGCCTTCCAAAAAGCTGAAAATACGTTGATTGAAGAAAGAAAAAAAAAAATGGTTCAACAGACAACCTGAAGCATTCTGTGGGTTCGTTGCGCAAATGGCGATGGTGGCGGACGACCGGCGTGGATCTCTACTTCAGAACTGTCGTTCGCGGTATCAGCGAATCTGTCTTCCTTCGAAAGAAATTTTGGACCGATCAAAAAATTTAGGATTGATTCTGTGCGACGCGCCCGACCTCCAAGCCGATTTGCACGAACTTGTTGAGTCGTCGCCCCTTCTGGTGGCTGAAGACATTGCGCATCTTACGAACACGAATTGGTAAGAGCATGAAAAACACGCAAATGTCGAGCCCGAAGTGCGTACTTCGAGTTGAATATCCATCCGTACGATTTCTTTACTAGGTGCGCGACTTCAAGCCTGGCGAGCAACTTTCCGGCCTACAGTCGACCGGCTGCATTATTACGAACTTGCAATTTCCCTCGTCTGTCTGAGCATTATGATGTGAAAAGTATCGAGCTTCGAGCTCCACGATAGGATTAAGCTGCATATGCACAAGGGCATCTACAATGTTGTCAGAAAAAACAGATTATTTCATGTTGTAGAGCAGCTGAGTGGAAAGGTGTTTGCACTGATCTCTATGGGTGTTTGCCTCACATGCAGTGGAACCGGGTTGAATCCCCTGTTTACACACTTCTCTTTCTTTCTTTACAATTAACATTAAAAAAAAAAATATGACGCGCTGAACTAAATGGTATGGGACTCCCTTTTTGACACCTGCAAACTCAGTGTAGTTCACGAGGTGCCAGCCATTGGTCCCGATCCCGTTGATCTTTTGGTAACTTGTGCAGACTCTGCCGCACAATGCCACTTTTGGATGCAGAACCTGCGAGGCAGTTCCCCACGCAACGTCTTGGGGGCATTCTTTTCGGAGCCGATCACCGGCATTCACTCATTTCCAACTCTTCAGTGTACAGAACAAATCATCTTAAAGTGCAGAACAGCGAGCAGAACAAACATAACTGCAAAGCAATCGCACGGCAAACGGTCTGCTGCGTACGAAAAAAAAAAAAAAAAATTGGAGGAAAACAAATAGTAAAGGAAAGCGCGGTCGGGTGTAGCCACGTGACTCTTCGACCTCCGTGCGCAGGTTTCGGTTACGAGCAGTTTAACTTCTTGGCTTTATTAAAAAACGTGACTCTGTAGCAAAATAAACGTGACTCTAAATAGCCGCACAAAAAATTAAAATAATTTTTTTGAGGGGCGTCAGGGCGCCTTGTAATACCCCTGTCAGACGGGCTAGGGACTATGAAATGATTTTAAAATTGAATTTCATCCATCGCACGTCGTAAAAGGTGTGAAAAGAAACAAAAATAGGGAGCCAAAAAAATTATTTGCTATAGAACTTTTAAAAGAAAACTGGACTCTTTTGTGCCTTCTTTCCTTCGAAAGCTCTGCCTTTTCACTACGATGCATCCGCCGAAACGGAGCACGTCAGCCGAATCCACGTCGCCTATTGGGTAAGAGCCTACCTCACCAGCACCGCGATCGTGAACAATAAAAGCCGGCGAATGTTTCCTAAAAGTTTTGTTAAATAATATTCAGATCCACATTTTGTAGCATAATTAGAGATGTGTGGCGAAAATTGCTAAATTTGATGGATAGATGGATGGATGAATACGGCTGAGCCCTTTGGATCGGGCGGTAGCTTACGCCACCTAGCCATTTTGTTTTACCATTTAAGCTTAGAATATTTAAATGTGAAATCTATATTCACTCCGCAGTGCAAAGAAAGTGAGGCTATGAAACCCCCTTGCCATCAGTGAATAAGAAAATACCTAGTTTTCTCTCGATTTCTGCCACCATTCACTTAATCTTTGCTTGGTAATCTCTACAGTCTTGAAATCCACTGTCCCTTCGCTGTCCCTAAAACCCAATGACTTTATTAAATCTATGTTGTCTTCGGTAGGCATAGGGTGAAGCCCTTTACAGTAGAGTATCAAGTGCTCAGCCGTCTCGTCCTCCTCTCCACAAGCAGTGCACACTGTATCCATTTCCTGGTACTTCACTCTGTATGTTCTGGTTCGCAGAACACCCGTCCTCGCCTCAAACAGCGATGAGCTTCCCCCAGAATTGTCATAAATGCTTTCTTTGGCAATAACTGTTTTGTTTAATCTATAGCTTTCCAGAGCCGTCTTTGTCTGCATTCCCTCTAGCCACCGATCTCTTTCTGTGGCCTTAACGTTTTTCTTAACTGAGACTTGCTCTTCCGTATCTTCGCTATAGCCCAAAAACTTTCCTCTTAATTTCCTAGTGCGCTGTCTCCACTTTGTGTCTACACTCCTCATGTATAAATAGCTGAAAACCTTTCGTGCCCATTGCTCCCCATCCATTTGCCTCAACCTATCCTCAAATTCTATCTTGCTCACCGCTTCCCTGCTCTCAAATGACGCCCATCCCATGTCTCCTTGTACTCCCTGGTTTGGCGTTTTGCGATGTGCCCCCAAAGCCAGTCTACCTACTCCGCGTTGTTTTATTTCTAGTCTCGCATGCACTTCGGATTTCATGCATAGCGCTGCGTTTCCAAAAATCAAGCCAGGCACCATGACCCCTTTCCAAATCTCTCTCACCACCTCATACCTGTTGTAATTCCAAAGTGCTCTATTTTTCATTACAGCTGCATTTCTGTTGCCCTTACGTATGTATGTATGTATGTATTTATGCGGCGCTTGCTCTTTGCAACGAGCGTCTGCAAAACAGACACGCCCCCCCCCCCCCCCCCCCCCCCCCCCAGAAAAAAAAAGAAGAAATTGGAGTATTGTTGCTGCTGGAGTCACCGCACTGGCGCTCCTCGTAGTTAATGGGCCGAAACAGCTCGTCAGATCTCCCGAGACTCGTGCCGTTGAGAACTTCCTGAAGTCTCTCCTGAAGCTTGTCTGCCCGTCTTCTTTCCGTCTGGAACTGCCTCTTCAACTCCTTCACCCTAGACAATCCTCTCTTGTCCTGCATCTTGCGCTCCTCGATGTTGTCCTGTGCTCTTTGCTTCAGCTTCCTTGCTTTCTCTCGAAATCGCACTTCAGGTTGTTTGACATCTCCAGATGAATGGTGAGATCCTTTACGGCATCGTCCTGCTGCGCCTTGAGCTTTGTGCAGCCGTCCGAACGTTGCCTTGCTTTGCACTGCTCCAGGTCATCTTTGGACTCCTCAATGGCTTTCTGCAGTATGTCCACGCGTTTCTGCGCCTCAGCCTTGCGCTGAAGCACCTCCTCCTTCATAGAGGGCAGCAGGCGCTTGTATAGTGTCAGCGCCGCTTCGTTCTCTGTCACCTTCGTCGCACGCTCCTGCTCAACAAGAGGTGCTTCGTTTGACAAGTGTAGCTTCTCCTCAAACTCCTGCCTCCTTTTCTCTGGGGCCTGCCTGTGTTTCTCCTCTTCCTCCAGCAGGTATGCCCCCATCTCCTCTGCCAACGCCTTCCCATTCTCCGCCACCTTGTTTGCCTCGAAAGCAGCAATGGCGCTACGTCGGGAAGCATCTTCTAAACCATGAATGGTGATGTGCATTGAAGTTATCTTGCCTGCCATTCGCTCGTTCACCCTAAGCAGAGCCTCCCGCTCCTTGTCGGAGTAGTCGATCTGTTGGCACGAGTCTCGCAGCAGCGTCTCTAGCAATGCCTTCTCGGCGAGCGTTACAGGTGAATCGCCCACCAAGCCTCGAGCCTCCGCTTCTCGCACGCCCCAATATTGGTTTCTTCTGTAAATCCAAGAGCTTGCTCAATGCGAGTACCGACGCCCGCTACAGGTTCCAGTGCTGGACACTCGAGAAGCAAATGTTGTAAAGTTTCGTCCGCATCACCACATGCACTGCACAGCAAGTCCGTTACGTTGGTGTCATATTCTTCTGTCCACCTGCTGAGAGCCAAGCGCCATCTATCGTGTGGTAAACGAAGCAACTACTGCGCGTGCGCAGTAGGGCAGGGCCGATTGGGTCGCGACGACCGGCGAACGTTTATTTCCTTTGATTTCCTTCCTCTCAAAACTCTGACTGATGGAACGTTTATTTTTCTACGTATTCTTCTCGCGCGTGCCGACTTCAAGCAGCAAGAAAAAAAGTACTTAAAACAGACCACGACGAACAAGAACGCTAGATCCACAAACACCCGAGAAAAGCGAGAATGACCACGAATCCGCCGACTCCGACGGAGCGAGCTGCTCAGAATATAGGCCTAGCAGGCACTCCGACTCGGCGCAGCGTGGCAGCGTTGCTTCGTCGCAGGACCGTCTGCCTACAACCGGCTGGCGTGCTGAATGGAAAATGCCCGCGCTACCCTTGTGGACCCTTCTCGTATTATAGTTTGATCGCTGACCTCAATTTTTGGATTAAGAGGTGAGGTCAATCTCTTCCCCTTGTTTTCCGAGGCATTGTTGACGAACACTCGTCGATTCTATCTTCTTGTTTGGTGGGATATAGAGCTGAAATAAACGCCGTATGGATTACCTTCGTAACACGGTGTGTACAGTGCCCCTCAAACTTAACGCCGCCACTCGGTTACACTCGATTACGCAAATATTGATCTATTGCATGCTACCCAAAGATAAATTGGTCGCTGCAGCTCCTCGAATACCTTCCCCTGGTTGGGTTCTCATCAGGGACGCGAATGTTCACCAAGTAGTTCGACCACTATAGGTTCAGGAATAGCTCAACAAGTGAATAAACCGGGCGATCTAGTGGCGGCGTTAAGTTTGAGGGGCACTGTACACTTTGTTATTGGTATGCCATTTTTATTCTGACAGACTGCACGTCACTGTCGAGCTATAACAGTTCGTGGGAGGTATACGTGCAATGCCGGTCCAACCTTTCTTTGCCGAGTGTCGCGTCAGTATCGAGTTGCAATCGTAAAAGATCGGTCCCGAAGCGCCTACCAAGAGCGCAGCACTTCCATCAAACGCGCGCGTCCGCTCCGAGTGTGAACAGGTATTTACGTGGCTCTTGCTGACACTCGTAGTTCAAACGTATTTTTTTTTTAACTTCGGCTCGCTCCTGCATCTCCGAGGCCGCGAAAAACGCCGCGGCAATTTGTTTCCATCTACGTCGCTTTGCAAACGACTGACACGGGCCGCCTTTTACCAACAATGAGTTGGGTTGACTTCTGGAGTCTTCACCGGAAGACTCGCTGCTCTTCCCAACAAGCATACCGGCGTCCCATGCCGTTGCCGTAGCGCAACATATCTCATTGAATTTCGCTCAGCTGCGATGCGGCGATGAGAGGCGCCGATTCAGAAAATACGTCGGTGACATCAGCCAGTAAAACCTACCGGCGCACCCCAACTCGTCGCCGCTAACGCTCCCATTCTCCCACTGCCGAGAGAACTTCCGGTTCCGGAAACAAAAAAAACATGACGGCCGAGCAGATCGTTCCTACTGCAAGCTGCTTCTCGAGCTTTTGCAGCTTTTCTTGCGCATTTGCGGTGTAAGCTTGACGCATAAGATGAGCAATAAGAGCTCCGCCTTCAGCACATCCTTCTTGCCCTCTGTAGTGCGTTAGTGCGCGCGCACGGTCGTCTTTTCAAAGGAAAGCTCTCGCTGGAGACGGCGCTCGGGTTGCAAAATATGTATGTGCAGGGTGTCACAAATGAAAATTTACACGGTCTTTTTTACCGCAAAAATACACTAGGCATCGCCGAACGCTCATTTTCCGCCCAAAGGTAGAGCTAGAGGTCACAACCAGATGCCGAAGTTTCAGCCCGATCCGATAACTTAATCAAAAGTTATAAGTGATTTTCTGAAAATTTCAATGGGAAAATGGGCCCCATTTTCGCTCGTTTTCGGTTTCTGGTGCCATAGAGCCCCATGTGTTTGAAAACTCCGTCGGCCGCCATTTTCCCATTGAAATTTTCAGAAAATCATTTATAACTTTTGATTAAGTTATCGGATCGGGTTGAAACTTTGGCATCTGGTTGTGACCTCCAGCTCTACATTTGGGCGGAGAATGAGCGTTCGGCGATGCCTAGTTTATTTTTGCGGTAAAAAAGACTGTGTAAATTTTCTTTTGTGACACCCTGTAGTTCAATCGCATTGCACACGTTTCGATGCATGCCACGGCCGCTTGATCGTGGCCTTAGCAGAACGACCTGGAGGGCGAGAAAAACAATTGTCTCGCTTACTCAGTGCGCTGGGCGGCTAGTATCGTTCCCTCCGCTCGACTTTGTACGGTTTCGATGGGAATCTAGAAGTTTACGGCGGGGTTAAGCCCTTCCTATTCTTGACAGTTGACGCAAAAGTGCCGTCGATGGCGACGTTTTTCGAACGCATCGAGACCGCGCATCCCGGTTTCGACATGCTTGGACGAAGGAAAAATTACTAGCTTGCGGCGAACTCGGGTTCCCGGGGTAACGTTGTGCCATTGCAGTTGTGCGGTGACGACTACGACATGGAGTCCTGACCTCCTGACCACGCGAACGCACAAATAATACCTGCGTCGAAGGTGAGCCGCCCGAACAGGTTTGTTATTGTGCGGGGTTACGGGACGTGCTCCTGTATAGTACCACACTTTCGCGCGACGCACTAAGTACCTCTTTCTTCTCGTCTCTAATATCATACACAGCAAATAACGAAACAATAAAGATTTTGCAGGAACGGGGAGGGACAAGGGAGCGCCATGGCACCATCCATCTATCCCAACGACCCTGTTTCAGTGGCGCGCCCATCGGCAAAATGTTGCACTTGCGACGACGGTGGCGGTTCAATGTTTTCCGACTCTTGCCCTCATACCAGGCTGTAATGAAAGGGGTTCTGCTGGTTCACCGAGCTTCGGAGGTGAGGTCGATTTCATGTTCTGAGAATTCTAATAGATTTCTCCTTATTGAACAAACGGGTATTTTTCATAAGGCTTACACACGGTGCGTCTTTTCAACAGGGGGGTAAAGGTGGGTGAGGAGGAGTGGCAAATCCCGCGCGCCGACATCCTGGGTCCCGAGTGAAAGATCGCGAAAGAAAGCGACAGAACACGAGAGAAAGAAACCAGTGTTGCCAGCTGAAGGACGACAGTCGGAATGGTAATCGCGAAGACTGAAAACTCTCAGCAATATACAGTGATAATTTAACGTTGCAAACTAAATTCTGAGTTATTCTAAGGTTTATGAAAAGCAACATACTCATTACGCTGCATTAACTTTCCTTCTGTCGAAATCTCGAAAATCTGGTAGTTGCGCGGTTTCGTATTTCCGGGCGCGGCCACCCGCGCCCGGAAATATCTGGTTTAGTTTAGTGTTGACGGGAGGCTGTACATCTGCGTGCTATGCAGAAAGAAAGCTTCGAAAGGAACGCGAATATCTTTCCACCGGTAAGTTCATGGATTGTTGAAGTTCATGGAACTGCTCTAAAGATATATTTGTAAAATCGAAGGCAGTTGGTAACCATGTGGGACCCCGAGGGGCTGCCTGCATACTCCGCCGCTTGCGGCAGCCAGAATGCATAGGAAAATGGCCGACCTTTTCCTCTAGAGTTAGTATGTATGATCTCTATGCTTTTCAACAGGGGGGGGAAGGTGCCGCCGCTTCCAATGCACCCTCCTCAGAATTTACGGCGCTCCGTGGGGGCCGCCATGTTAAAACTTGAGACCAGTGTTGCTGCATCTGTAGGTCGTCTTTAAGTTAGAGCTGACGGAGAAAATCTGGCCACGGCGCAACGCCGATGTACGCTGGAAGCTAGAGCCGGTTTGCTTTCGTTGTTTTTGTTTGGTCGGAGAAAATCTGGCAACAACGCACGTTCAAGTTTCAACATGGCGCCGGTATTGAGGAGTTTCAGCGACGGTGTCACCGCCCTGGCGGCCGGTCGCCGAAAGAGAACGAGGGGGATAGGTTCGCTGGGCGTTGGCTTTGTGTACATGCGTTGGCCGCGAACGTAGGCTCATAAACTTCGGCAGCAAGAATATTACGCGGCTCTAGTGTTCCGGTACGGGCAACAGAGATGACACGAACTGCTACGACGAGCTACGACTACCCGCCGCAGCGATGCAGGCGTCGAAGGAGCGCAACCTGTGTACTACGCAGTCAGTCGCCGTCGCCCGACGCAGGTCGTTTGGCATTCAGGACTTTCCGTCCCGGGTTCTTCGCTTACACTTGGAACCGAGTATTATTCCCTGTGCTTCTGTATGTGCTCAGTGGCTGGATGTGGACCTCATAGAGCAGAGTTCTTCAGACTCGACAGCGACTCAAAGTTGACGGCGGAGGGGCTTGCAGCAACGCTTTCGGTTGGTGCACGGGTGCGACGACTACACGGATAAATTTTAAGATTGCTGCTAGCAAGGTGGGCCATAGTCGCTTTATGTTGACACGATTTTGAGTGTAAGTACTCCGTGCAAAGGCGAATCTATCGCGTTTCTAATCCACCTTTGTTTTTGTTGTTGTTTTTGCGCTCGCACGACCGATTGAAAATGCTTCTGTACCAATCACGGAGTGAATGTCTTCGGCTTACATTGCGGAACGCCCAATAAAAAGTCATATTCGTTCAGCGAGCAAACTTCCCTTTCGAGTGACCTTCTTTGATTGATGATTTCGCCCGTACTTGAGTGCTTTAATCAAAACGATCGATGAAGTTTGCTTCCCTAGTTAGGACATTTTTTGTGCCACATGCGGCACTAATGCTTGGCACGATGTATTCTACTGGTGGTATT